ACATACAGGATGAAAGTTAAGAGGTTAATGGATGGGTATTATATGCAATGGTATCCATTATGGTAGATTCAGGCTGACCACAAGCTTGCATGGTGACTAGAAGTGTAAATAAAAAGTACCTTAAAAAGAATATCCAAGACAGGCACAGTGGCACATAGGGAGCCGAGAAACGGCGAGACCTATGGGTTTTCATGCCAACTAGGTCACACAGAGAATATCAGGGTAGCCAGGGCTTCATAATGAGACTGTGTGTCAAACAAGGGAAAAGATAAAATTAGGACATAGGCAATAAAACAACTGTCAGTCACAGAGGTAAAGGGTTACTACTTATGAATATCTAATGCTGAGATTGAGAAGATGGCTCAGTTAGTAAAATCTTTGTCATATGGGCATGAGGACCTGAGTCAGATTATAGGTATTAAAAAAAAAAACCAGGTATGTATGTGTTTTTGTTTTTATTGTTGTTTGCCATTTAGTCTTTTGTTTGTTTGTTTGTTTCTCAAGACAGGGTTTCTCTATATTGCTTTGGAGCCTGTCCTGGAACATGCTCTGTAGACCAGACTGGCCTCAAACTCACAGAGATCCACCTGCCTCTGCCTCCTGAGTGCTGGGATTAAAAACTTGTACCGATACCACCTGGCTCTTCTACTTTATCTTTAAGACCTGACATTCTCTTTCCCATGTTTTTTAATCTGTTGGTGAGACTTACCTCTGAGGTAAGTTTTATTTCAGTTTGTGTTTTCTTTAGTAATTCCATTTCTTTGTTAAACTCTACTTTCATGTCTTAAACTACTTTCATTATTTTATTCACTGTTTGTGTTTTTACAGTCTTTAAGGCATTTACTCATAACCTCTTTAAGGTCTTGAACATATCCACAATTGCTATTCACCTTGTGCTTCAGCTAGAGAGCTTCTTCCAGGGTCCATTTTAATAGGATGGCTGGCTTCAGGAAGAGGGCTATTGTTTTTGATGCTCATGTTTGGGTTTTTGCACTGGAATCTAGGCATCTGTAGTTACGATGTTTGAAGTATTTCTGGTGTAGATATCTGGCCTTATCTTTGTTGGGTGTGTGTTCTGTTCCTTGGTTCTAGTTGCCTGCTTTGGATCCTAAGCAAGTGCAATGGCTGTGGGGTCCCAATAGTGTTTCTGTGGATCAGCCCATATGACTTAGAGGGGCATTGGGAAGGAGCTAGAGGGTCTCTGCAGTTGGCACCAAGATGAAGAATCCCAGGGAATGGAGGCAAGGTGGGAGGAGGGACTCCTGCAGGACTAAGAAGAAGCCCAGAGAGACTGGAATGGAGAACAGGAATGACAGTGTACATTGCCACCTGTGTCCCAGCCCGGTGTGGACACTAGGGAATCCCTGGTACATAGTGTTTCTGAGGGTCAGCAGGTGACACAAGGCAATGGAGATGGACTAGAAGCAAAGGGAGAGACTGTGGGAAACATTTAGGGGGACCCTAAGTCTGCACCAAGGTCCCCTAGGTGTGGAAAGTCCTCAGGGAAACTACAATCTTTTAAAATATCAAATAAATCAATTAAAAATACACGGAAGGCCTAAGATGAGAGTAGAGAAAAGGAGACCAACCAATATAGCTACAATTGCTCCCTTCTTCTCATTGTTACTGTTCTGACATTTACGTCATGCATTTTTCTGGAATTAAATGTCTATTGGCAACAAAATAAATAAAATTAATTAATTAAAAATTTAAAGTGTCCCCTCTCTTTTGGACTTGCACTCCCAGACTCCACCCCCTTTCAGCTAAGATTGGTGGAGGGAGCTGGGGAAGGGAGTGGCAGAAAACTGGAACAGGACAGGTCTGAGGGCCCCCTGGGGCACAGGGATACCAAGCTGCCTCCATGATAATGAAGACGACGTTGATGATAGTGATAATGAAAATGACCATGTTGCTTCCAGAGATAGTTCTGTACCAATAATATATACTTGCTTTTCATACTGTTGATTCTAAAAGTGTTTGAATAAATACAGGGAAAATACCACTTTCAAATGCAATGAAAAGAAGCCAGGAGCCAACCAGGGAGGGAAGAGCAGCGGGCAGACATGCTGCCTGGAGGCCAGCGGTGATCAGGAGCTCCTCTGACATTTACAGTCTTATTTATGTGAGTGGAACACTTGTCCCTGGGAAGTCCACCCTGAAGTCCAGAAGGAGAGAGCATGGAGTCTACAGGACACTAGTGGGAGCAGTGCCCCTGGGGTGGGGGTGTTTTGAGGCGGTCATGTGCAGTGATGCCAGTGAGCACATTTTGGATGAAGAAATCCAAGAAAATCAGAAGAAACCTTTCACCCTTGTCAAGGGTGCCTGTAGCCGCTTCTGTAACTGTCATTTAAAAACATTTTTATCAACCGCCATCCTGTCCTTCTTACCATCCCAGGGAGGGAAGTTCTGTAAGAAGAAACTGCAGAGGACTGGCAGTTCAAGTCTGCCAGGTTACAGCAGAGGAACCAGAGAATGGCTTCACATTCAGGAGCCTCATCATGCAGGGTTGTTTTTTTTTTTGGGGGGGGGCAGCACATCCAGCCAACAGTCACATGGGATTGGAAATGAGATGCCCTCCTTGGCCTGGTGGCTGTTCTCTTACCTTTTACTGGTGATATTTTAAAAGTCAAAGCATATCTGGGTTCTTTATGCTCTGCTGGTTGATTGAGCATTGATCGCTCACTGTCTGAACTGGTGTTAGGACAAAGTCACGGCATCTGGAATTGCTTTTCGGAGAATGCTATTTTCTGCATTGCTTTTGTGTTTACAACCGAACGTGGGCAGTCTCGTACCCGCTGGGATATACTCACTATATGTGCCATTTTCAAATGGATACAACAATTATATTACTTGTTTTCATACCTAAAAGGCACTTGAAAGCTAGGTGGCTCTTTGAAAAAACCGTTCATTTGAATGTCATATCATAACCTTTAAGGCAGGAAGCTGCTTGAACTCTATGGGGAAATTTGACGATAAGAGTAATATTTTATACAACATTTTTTCAAGTAAAATTTTTATGTAAATTTTTCATAAAGCTTATAAAGATTTTATAGAACTCTCTAAAAAAGAGAGAGAGCCAGGTTCAGGGTTAGAATCATCCCATTAGTCAGAGCAACTTCATCATCAAGATTAGTGTAAATATAAATTCTTGGTGCAATGTTGGGACACTGTGGGTGAGGGCAAGATGTCCGCCATGGGCACTGGGAAAGTTGGGTGGGGCATGGTATCAGAGCTGAAGGCGTGGTTCAAGTTCGGAGCCAGCCCTTGGTGAGGGTTCATGCCAGGGTGTAGATAAGGTGGGACTGTGGCTTCATGCCACCTCCTGCCTACAGCTTTCTCTATAGAATTAATTCAGAGCTTCTATCTCAGAGTCTTTATCCTTCCAGCTAAGTTTGCTTCATTTTTCTTCAGTAATGGATACAAGGCACACAATGGTTCAGAACTTTATTTCTGTTTATTTTATTGTTTGGGGCTATTAGAGATTCTGCCACCTCTAAATACAAAGCTCAAAGGATTCTAGATGGTCTTCTAGGTAGATTTATGACTAAACACATGGAATAAGAATGTAAGAACATGGACGCCACTAAAAGGTACCTTCTCAATTTCATAGTTTAAGGAATGGTTGGCGTTTAATCGTTCACCTTACTAGACATACCTATACTCATTTATCATCTTCCCTGGTCTGAATTCTTGAGGAGAGGTTAAATAGCATCCCAAGGCTTCAGAAAGATTATCATGCACTAAGGCCAACTGGCTTCTGACTAGTCTTTGCAGGTACACTGTGCATAATAACAGTGTAAATAAGTAACTTCTTTATCTGGCCCCCCAGTGACTCCTGTACCCACCTACACTCTACTCCAAGTTCTGACTCAAGTGTCAAGCAGTTTTTTTGTCCTCTGTGCAAAGGCACCAGATTCCCATTAACGGCCTGAGATTTGCCAAGGGGGTCCAGGGAAAAGTCTCCAGCCACCATGAGAACCAGCTATCCTCAGAGGGGCATGCATCCTGCTTCCCTGGTAAGCTGCCACTCCCAGTAAGTCGGGGGTGCCCTGCAAGTTGGAAGGATGCTAGCACACTGTGCTGGTTCACTGTTACTCTGAACCAGACGTAATGCCACCCCTCGTGTGTTCCTCCATGACTCCCTCCCTCTCTTCATCCCTCCCCACCCCCACCTCTCTTTCTCTCAAACTGAGTTTCACAGATGTACCTTACTCCTCCCAAATTTTCCCACTGGAAAGGAACCATAAAAAAACGACATGAAAGCACTCTTCCTCTCACCCTGCCGCTGTCCCCATCCTTCATGTGGTCAGGCTTTCATGGAAGACTGAACTATGGTCTTAAAATTTGGTTTCATATTTTTCCTAACATGGCTCTGTATCCCCCAAACTTCCTAAAGCAAAAAGCCTAGAGAGAGGGAAAAAAACCCACAACAACAAAAGGCCATTAGTCCACAAGTGACAAGAGACAGCTAATGCAGTTGGAAAGCTGACTGCTTTGTTCCTATTTCTGGAATCTACACTGGGTGATGGTAGAGCCCAAGGTAAGGATTTCCCACCTGATATGTAAAGGATGTACCAAATGGTTCCCAACATCCTATCCAACTGTAAATGACCATGCTCCACCTCTGAGGTCCACGGGGTGCTTTGTAGCAGAAGATCCTAAAATATTGTCAAGATAGAGCTAAGGGAGAAGCAGAAGACCTGACAAAAGATGAAGCAGAGGCTCTGCTGGACAAACAGCTCGGGAAATAGCAATTCATAGAAGACTTCTCTTTGCTTTTCTTTCTTCTGTTACCTTCCTCACTCAGAACTTTCTCTGTGGTCCCTGGCTGGCTGAACACACAACTACATCCTACTCCAGCATTATCCAATGTTTGCTTAAAGCTACCAAGCTCTATTGTACTAAATTAGACCTCTAAAAATAATTTTTTTAATTGCTTAGTTAGGAAAAAGTGATCAAATGCACCCCCATCCAGGAACGATGGGAAAAAGAGCCAGGGGTCAACAAATTAGTATTGGTCTTTATTGAGATGTCAAGGTACAGCAAGGCCATGGGACAACAGCCTGAAGACATAACCCAGGATCAAGACTTCAGGGTTCTGAGATGTGATGCAGTGAGCCTTTTGGCTATGAGGAAGGCAGTTTACTGTTCGGGGGATCTCGGGACTTCAGAATGGTCCTGTATTTGGTCAAAAACTGGCTGCCCAAAGTATTCAGCTCTTGCTGGAGTTCCTGCAGAGCCTTGTCTTGTTCCTGCTGCTTCCCAAACACGAGGGGCTTGTAATAGTTGATGTACAAGTTCACCCAGTCATTCACCACAGTCACCATGTTTTCTTCAGGGATAAGAGGGTCATCAAAGACCTGGGGGTGGGGATAGAAGGGAGAGATTGGCAAGGGAGAATGTGTTCAGCAATGTGGAACGCCAGGATGGTCTTCTAAACGCTCACATTCTCTTTTCTTGAATTTGCACTCCCTGTTTCTAGACATTTGGACCAATGCCAACATTGCCCTTGTCGTTCCAAATGAACCTTCTCTACCCTCCCAACAGACACTGTATCCATCTCTGTCCTTTGAAACAGGGTGCACCGGCTTACCTGCTGACCCAGCAGAACATTGAATTGCTTTATTCCTTCAGAAATCAGTTCCTTATTGGTCTGAAAAGGGGCCATCTGTCAGTTAAAGAAAGAGGTAAAATGTATCCTTTTCTTTCACACCTGAGTACTCTCCCAGGTCTCTCACCCCTTACCTGCCCCCAAACATCCCTCGTGGCCAAGAGGGATGCCTCCTTTCCAAAACCTTTCCAGTCCTACTCTGTTGGAAGTCACACTTCTACCTCTATGTGCTCACCTTCAAGTCCAATGGTGCTGAGCTTGCCTTGCACACACTCTTCAGAGTTGGTGTGTCCTCTGCACTAAGCTAGATGTAGGCAGAATAGCTTAAGTCGGAAACGCCCTGCCTGAAGGTCCTGAAGGAGCGTGATAGGTCATCCTGGGGCGGGGAAGGTGGGTGGTGAGGCTTCCCTGGAGTTAGAAAGATAGAGAGACCAAGAAAAAAATACAGATAAATGAAGACAGAAAAATGCAAGAAACAACCCAGGGACATAAGCTTTCCTTTTTCCCCACAAACCCAAACCAGTCTTTATATTTTAAAGAAACTAACATTTACTGGACCCCATTATATAATGGGTACTGTTGCATTATACACAATGGCATTTGTTTCTCCATCTACAGCTCCCATATCATAACAGTTTAGAAGCCAGACTACCATCCCCCATTCAGGAAGCAGAAGAAGGAGAATCAAGTTAAAAAGGCCGGTCCCAGGCTATCTCCAAACAAAACCTGTTCTCAAAAAAGAAGTTTATGTTACTTTTCTCTTATTTTGCCATTTTAGGTATTCTTTTATGCCAGACATTTTTTCAGGCATGTGTTAAGTATTTATCATTATAAAAACCCCTTTAGAAAATGTAGGCTATGTACATACTGGAGCTTTTCAACTATAAAGAAAAATGAAATTATGTCTGCTTCAGCAGAGCAAAGGAATCTTTGAATACTTGTCACTACCTCCAAATCATTTGTAACATCTAAATAGTTATGTACTGGGCTGGCAAGATGGCTCACTGGTACTTGCTGCCAAGCCTACTGACCTGAGTTCAATGCCTGGGACCCACATTGTGGAAGGAGAGAAATAATTCCCACAAGTTGTCTTTTGATGTCCACATACATGCCATGGTGTGTATGTATATCTCTCTCTCACACATACACAAATAAATAAATAATAAGTAAGCAAGTAAAAGTAAAATAGTGTATACCATTTGCCAAATCTGACTTAGACCCCTACACATATAATCTTTTTAGCCCTCACCCTGACCCTTTCTTGTATATACTAGTATTCTTTCCATTTTTTAGATTGAGAAACTGAATGCCAGAGAAACGAGTAGCTTTCCCAAGATCTCACAGTTACAAACATGCCTTTCAAGTAAGGCCCTTGGGTGAATTCACTCATGGAAAGTGGCTACGGGGTTTGGTTCATTCACAGAAGCTAGCATAAAGAATACAACACAGTGTTGAGTGACCTTTGACTTTTTCATTCTTCCTGGAAACTCAATTTTTCACAAAAGTGCTAGTGTTTATCTCAACCTTAGACAGACTCTGTGTGGGGTCAGATACAGTGGTATGGGTTGGCAGGGTGCTCCTAGCCACAGTTCATGATGAAGCCAGCAGCCCTTGAGAATCAGTTCCAGAATGGAGTTGTTATCCAGGTCAAACAGGGTGCGGTTGGGGGTGGGTGGCCATCTAAGAATGCCAGGCTAAGGAACAATGATATTTTATTTTCTGATTTAAAGAGAAAAAGAAGATGCTTTTGGTAAATTCCTACTTTAGGGCCAGCTCCCTAAAGTTGGTGGGAAGGAGAAAGAGGAGAAAGGAAAGGGATGAGTTTGGAGGGAGAGAAACCCTGTGACTTAGACCCTTTTCTTAACTCCACGGAGCAATCCTGCCATGAAACACACAAGAACCTCCCTGTGCCTATGCTGTTTTCTGGAACTATCCCTGCAATGGCTGGAGGTTCTTACTCCCCAGGATCCTTAGAGGCCTTTTAGAAATAACACTCTAATTTGGGGAAAACTGAAGGACAGAGAATCTCTTCTCATGATGTTAGGGAGACACACTGTCTATTTGCCAATGACTTAGGGGCAAGTACCTAGGCAAAGAAAAAAAAGTGTTTGGAAAGTCAAGGAAACAAAGAGGCTAACACCAATAAAAAAAAAAAAAACATCTGGGTGTGAAAGGGCTTTATAGAGAGGAAAGTCAAGCAGCAAGCAAGAAAGAGCTAACAGCTGAGGAGATTTTTAAAACAAAAACCCGATGACTGGTGATTTCCTGGGGCCACTCTAGTGGCTGTAGTTGGTTGAGTTACTCTTAATTTTGATGTCTTCGTCCCTGAAGGGAAGAGAAGCAAGCAAGTTTAAGTCAAATCAACCTTGTTCTAGACAAAGTGGTTCTTAATGATCAATATATCTGCATGCAGAGTTGGGCAGAAATGGTCTGAATGGAGATTAAGGTAGCAAAGGACACAGAGACCTGGCAGAGATGATGTTGTTACTGGATCTTGCTCTGTTTTTCCCTCAGTGCCCCAGTCCTTGTGTTCTCTATTAAGTGACTTCAGGTGAGACACAGAGTGTAGTGTAGAAGACAGAGTTTAATGCATAATAATAAGGGTTGTGAGTGGGCAATGGCCACAGAGCCATTGTAAAGGAAAACATTCTCACAGAGTGAGAATGGACAGCGTTCAAAGAGACCATTGTGGAGAGCGTGCTCTCAAGGGATAGGGATGAGCAATGGTCAGAGGGACTATTTGTATCACTCTATATGTTTAGGGGGGCTATTACATGACAACTCTAAATGACCAAACAGCACTTGGCTGGATCTATCTGGGCTCTTTCCTCGGTTCTAGCCCACTTCTATTCTTGGTTGAGTCTTTACTCTTTCTTGTAAGCTATCTACTTCTATTCCATGCCTAATTTAAAAGGCACCAGTTTTCTCCATTGCTCCTCCTGGTGGTTGCCAGAATTTCTGCTCAACCTGTTCTATGTTTCCTTCTTAAACTAATAAAACTATCCCCAAGAGTCCTGTTCATTCCATTTCTAAATTCTTTTATTAAAAAGATTTTATTACCCCATCTCTGTGTGTGTGTAGGTGCACATCCTTGTGTTTGCCTGAGGAGGTCAGAAAGAGGGTGTCTGAGCCCCTGAAGTTGGAGTCACAGGTGGTTTGTGAACTGACATGAGTGTGGGGAACCAAACACTGACCTTCTGGAGAACTGCATGTATTTAACCACTAAGCCATCCCTCAGCCTCTAAATTCTTTTAATTAAAGAGACTAAGAAGTTCCCATGGGAACCTCAGTTTCCCCAGTAACAAAACAACAACAAACATTGGCAAAGAACTCTCATGTGCTGCTAGTGAGAATGTAAACTGTTGCAGCTGCTATGAAGAGCAGAAGAAACAAACAGTAGAACCACCCAGCCCTGCTACTTGTAGGTTTACACCAAAGGACTCTGTGTCCTAGCGCAGAAAAACCTGCACATCCCCGTTTACTGCGGCAGTATTCATAACAACTAAGAAATGGAACCGGCCTGGATCTCTGTTTGTAGACAAACGGGTAACCAAGTGTGGAATAACAGTGGAATTTTATTCAGCCATAAAGAAAAGTGAACTCATGACATTTGCAGGAAAATGAGTTTAAGACTGTTTCAGAAAGACAAATACCCAATGTTTTTTTCTCGTATGCAATTCCTAGATCTAAACTTTTATATGTGTGTATGTGTGGGGGGCGGTATGGGTCACGAAGTTAGAAATGGAACTATGAAGAGGGAAGAAGGGATCTTCAGGAGAGTAGAAAGAAGATAAAAATGGCAGGGGGGAGTGAAGTGAGTGTCTAACCAGTAGGAGTCAGGCAAGGCACAGGGGAGGTGAGTGGTGAAGGAGACACAATAATGACGCCCATTAAGTCAAAAGCTAATTTTGAAAATTGCAAAAGCTACATTGTCCCTGGCCTCACAGAGGTAAAAAGGCACCTGGGACCCGGAGAGGAATACTTTTCAAACTTACATAACCAAAAGTTTGAGATCTGAACGGGGTCGTGATCACAACTATTTCCCCAAGAAGGCATGGTTCCCTCTCCCAGTTGTTGGAATTCACAAGTCTGATTTCCAAGAGAGTAAAGGAAGATTATTGCTCCTCTGCGGCCGCCGTAGCCGAACAGGAAATGTAGTTCGTTTTGGTTTTTTGGCGTGTTGTATTTGGACGGACCCGCCGAGCCTGGGGATGGCTGACTGTGCGAGCTTGCGGGTGCCGCTGTGCACGGAGCAGTTCGGCTCCCGAGCCCCGCGCGCCTGCCGCGCTGCCGCCGACGGGAGTCTGCAGTGGGACGGGGCTCGGCGCTGGGGCTGGCTCTCCGGGAACCCGGCCTCGGAACCCGGGCAGGATGCGGGTGGAGGCGGGGGTCCCTGGGCAGCGCTGCCCGCTCTCTCGGGCCTCAGAGCCGTGCTGCTGCCGCAGGGCTTCCCAGACAGCGTCAGCACGGACTACCTGCCCTACCAGCTGTGGGATTCCGTGCAGGTCCGGCCGGCCGACTGCCGGGGAGGGCTGGGGTGGGGTGGGGGTGAGCAGTGGCTGGGAGCTGGTGACCAAGGGAAGAGGCCACTGCGGTCTGCGTTTGCACGTGGAAGGCTGGGGTGCACCGCCGAGTCCTGGCAGTTTTCCAGGTCACACCACCGAGGAGAGCTGGTATAGTACAGTAGGCCCCCCGTGCTCCCGCGACCACTCCTCACTCCACGTCTTTTCTCTCCAGGCCTTTGCTTCCAGCCTCTCCGGCTCCCTAGCCACCCAGGCAGTATTGCAGGGCTTAGGGGTAGGCGACGCAAAAGCCTCTGTTTCAGCTGCCACGTCTACCTGGCTCCTGAAAGGTGAGCTGGAACTCTCTCCTCTCCCTCTCTCTCTCTCTCTCTCTCTCTCTCTCTCTCTCTTTCGCTTTCTCCTCTCCCCTCTCCTCCCCTCCCCTCCTCTCCTCTCCTTTCCTCCAAGTTATCCTAGTCTTGCCGTTCCGCAGTGTTTCTGACGTCCAACAGTGGCACTGGTGTGTGTTTATTGGTCTGTTGTCGGATGAGACAGTACACAGAAGCCACGTGTGCCCATGCCTGCAACAGTATTCTCGTTGCTCATTGTCGGAATATGTCATCGGTGAATCAGCCAAAAAGACACAACTCGTTACCCTTGCAAAGTTTAGAATCCCCAAGTCGTCTGGGTCCCTCATGGTTAAATTAACTTTAGTCCTACTTCATGCAGGATTGCATAGAAATGCAGTTTATTACATAAAGCTGCCAGCTTCTTGGGATGGTTGAAAATTGGACACCTCAAGTGGGGAAAAGGGGATGTAGCTGGACCTAAATTGGTAAGGTTAAAATGTATTCTGACTCCTCTGGGGTAGGAGACAGTGCTGAAGTAATGATTACAGTAAGCTGAGAGTGTACAGCTTTTCAAGGGAAAAAAAAAATCACCAAGAAAAAAAGTTAATTTAGCACCATGCCACCCAGAGAGTGAAGCAGAGAAAAGGAATATCGCTACTAGTTTCACGTTTAGGGGTTCTTATGATTCAGTCTGCTGGCCTCTGCCCTGCTGTTCACAGTGGTATTTGTAGTGGGAGTTCCCAGAACAGCTTTGCAGTTGGTTTGATTCTGGGAGTGTTAGCACCTGGGCCTTGCTCTGCCCATTGTGACTGCTACCTTTTGTATGTACTGCCTTCTGTTTGAAGTATGTAAATCTTGCCTGAGAGTTTCCTAAAGGTTCAAAGCCTATGAGAAACTTGGTTGAGGGAGGACTTAGAAAACTGAGATGTCCTGTGGCTGAAAACTGCTTTGGCATTTGTCTCTTTGGGGCGAGTCAGATAAGAGGTTTTGATATGTGGAAATGGACTTGTTAAGGTGCAAATTGTATAACAATAAAAAGCTTTTTGCAAAGCTATATTCAGTCAGTTCACCAGAATGGCCACAAAGGCCTAAAATCATCCTAGAGTGGCCCTGTTTCTTCCATCAACCCGAGTGAACTGAACACGTGGCACAACAGGTGTTTAAATGAAACCTAGGGGCAATCTCATCCTCCCTTCATCGGCCTGGCCATGTCTTTGGCAAGCCTCCCTGGACCCTGTGAACATCAGGAGGCTTCCATTTATGCCCTAACTATTAGAACTGAGCACACTGTGTAACTAGGGGTCATCTCTTAAAAGAGCTTGTTAGAACAGAAGTGGATCCATGGCCTCTCGTCCTCATTGTCTTTTAATAATGGCAATAATAATAATAGCTGCTGCAGTGTTTTTATGTCAGTCATTAAGTTTGCTGATTAGACACCATAATAGCTGTAGGACAAGTGTTGCTGTTTTCCCCACTTTACAGCTGGGGAAATAGAAGTGTCGAGGTTACACATCTGGTAAGTTATAGGGCCTGGATTCGAATACAGGTGATTTAGTCCTTTTCACAATATCATACTGTGCTTAACTTAATCTTTTCCATTGTTCTTCTGTTAGCCAGGTGAGGTCTGGGTCAGTGTTTTAGTGTCATTTCTATGCATCTCTTTCTTGTCATCAGAATGCTGCATATGTCCAACAGGTTTTTAAGAAAACCTGAGACCATTTTAAGCTATGAAAGTATATGTACTTTAGAACCTGTTACTGGTATTAAAAGAAATCCTCTTAGAAAGGATTTTACAAGCTTGTTTCCCTCAAGCTTGTTTCCCTCAAGGGTAAGATTTTATATGCACCACATAAGAAGTACCATTGGAATTTTCGTTGTTGGCTTTGTTTTTGACACAGGGTCTTCTGTAGCCCAGGCTAGCCTAGAACTACATGTGTCACTGGAGATAACCCCTGTTTCTTCACTTGGAATTGTAGGCATGCACTGCTGTACCTGGCTTTGGAATGTACGTTGTAATCATTTTCAGACACATACTGTCCTGATTGGTTGGCTAGATAGTTTTGCTAAGTAGTTTTTGTTTGTTTGTTGCCAACTTGAAACAAGCTAAGATCACCTGATAAAAGGGAACCTCCATTGAGAACATGCCTCTGTAAGATTGGTCTGAGCCTGTGGGAACTTTCTTAATTGATTGATGTGGAAGAGCCCAGCCCACTGGGCAGTGCCATCCCTGGGCAGGTTGTCCTTGGGTGTACAAGAGAGCAAACTGAACAAGCCTGTAAGCAGCATTCTCCCTCCATGGCTTCTGCTTTAGTTCCTGTCTCCAGGCTCCTGCTGGGCTTCAGTTCCTGCCTTGACTTCTTTCAGTGGACAGTGACCCAGGGAATATAAGCCAGTAAACCCTTTCTTTCCCAAGCTGCTCTTGGTCATATGTTTTATCACAGCAATAGAACCCCAACTAACACATATACTCTATTGGGTCCATATTAATTGTTGTAACCAACAATAGTAGTATCACTAGCAGCTAGTATTTTAACAGCCTACTATAGGCCAGGCATTTTGCCCTCTTACATATAATTTGTCTCTCAATGCCTGCTGTAGCCAGTTCGATGGCCTTATTCATTTTTCAGACAGAGAAACTCCAATCAGTCCCAGGCCAAGTGACTCTTGTGTCTCCTTCTTTATACTTTTAAGAATTTCAAGTGAATGCTATATTTACATAATTTACCCTCTTCTCCCTTCATCATCCCCACACCTATAATCCACAGGCTCTTATTTTTTAATTATTGTTACACACACACACACACACACACACACACACACACACGGGGGGGGGTGTTCATTTAATGTTGTAATTGGATTATCAGGGAGCACATTCCTAGAGAAGACAGAGTCTCCCTGTCTCGAAACTATTAATTGCCTGTAGCTCTTTATCTAGGGGTGGAGCCTTGTGAGCTCCATCCCCTGACCCCTGACCCCTGCCCCATGCTGGTAAGTCAACTGGTATCATTTTCAGGTCTTGTTTAGGCAACCATATTTGTTGAGATTTCATTAGTTCAGCCTCCCTGTTGTACAGAGAAGGCACCATCTCAAAGAAGACATCCTGGTCCTTTGGCTCTTACAATCTTTCTGCCCCCTTTTCTGGGATGTTCCCATAAGCCTAAGATATAGGAGATGTTTCTCAACACTGTAGTTGTAGAGCTTCCTGAAGAGCATATTGTGCTGTATGTAATTTCTATGAATTCGTCTTTCATACAAGATTATAATATTTATCAGTGTTATTGTGAATCATTGGCACATATCATTGTGACTGCCTAATATGCCACTGAGTAGATCTACCAGGATGTTATGAATCCCCTTATCTTTAAACATTTACATCATTTTAGTGTTTTGCTGTCATTTAACAGCATTGCAGGCTGAGGATGCAGCTCACTTTATAGAGTGCCTGCCTGTCCAACGAGTTTGCAAACAACATTTCTTGTCCACTCTGTACTCAGGCACATAGCTCTCGTGTACTGGAAAACTGCTGACCTCATCGTACCCCTCAGTATTAGCTCTGTCTAGAATTTGTCACACCAGATGTTTTCCCAAGGGCAGCATGACTGGAAGTGAATCAGCCAGTTCAGAGCCAGTGTCTGTCTTGCCCTGCAGCTCTTGAGTTCCTTCCTTGTCCTTACAATGCCTTCTTCCCATCCCCAGATTCCACTGGCATGTTGGGCCGCATCATCTTTGCCTGGTGGAAAGGGTAAGTTTGTGACTCTTCCAGTCAGCTGGCTCTGGTAGTACCTCTCAGTGGCACTGGTAATAATGCAAGCCTTTGTTTGTTGGAGAAAGTTCAATGGGAAAAAAAATCTATGCAAAGTGTTTAACATTTTATATCCTACTTGAATTTTGTATCATCTCTAATCCCTGTAAGCTTTTTGGGTAGCACTGAACATTTTGGAGATGCCAGTCTGGGGATATGGCTCAGATGTACAGCATTTGCCTTGCCATGGACAAGGCCCTGGGTTCAATTTGCCCAAACTGAAAAGATGACAGGGACACTTTTTAAGATGTGAAATATATCTAGAATCGGGAAATTATTTTTTTCTCAAGCCACTCACTCTGTAATTGCTGTGGTGGGACCGAGACCTTTCTTCTTACCATGCCATCAGGCTGGGTAAGCGGGAAGGGTGCCATGTGCTCAGCAACTCCCCTGGGCACATATAGTCTACCCTAGCTAGGGCTCCCCCTCCGCTGAGGGATTCCAGATGAAGATCTAGAGCTAGGGATGAGAATCTGGGCTGGACTGCACTGCAGCATCTCGTAACACTAAGATCTTAGAGCAATTGGCTTCAGGTGTTTATGCACGGGCCAGAGAATAACTGTGGAATGGAGACAGAAGAGGTAGTACCTATCGTGGTGTATAACAGAAACATCCTCAGCCTGGATATTGGAGCCCAGCCATTTCCCTTGGCCTTCCTTCCCACCCATCCATTGTTTCGTGAGCCAAGAGAGCCTGGGCTAGCTTCCTGTACCCTGCAGTTATACTGAGTGTGCATAAAGCAGTCCCGGGTATGTGGACTTTGGCCTGGTTACCTTTGAAGAAGCAAGAAGAAAAGAAAAAAAGGAGAATGATCCAGAAATAGCCTCTTCAAAGGTTGCCCAGGCAGTGGGAGAACAGCCAGTAAACAGGATAATTTTTCCTTGGAGCCAGTAAGAGGAAGATATACCCAGCCAGCGGTCACTGATGGTCCTCCCCGCTAAGGGTCATATTTCAGGCAGCAGTGACAGTCAGAACAAAACCCTGGCAGAGAAGCAGATACAAAGTTACCTTTCAGAAGGGCTTCATCAGGAGAGGGAGCTTCCTGCCTTGCAGCAGGAGACCAGTTAGGAAGGATAGAGCATCCTACCAAGGGCAGCATGGTGGGGCCCCAACAGAAGAGAACAGGCCTTCCCTTCAAAACCCAGAGAGAAGCTAGGTGAGGGGAGATGACAGCCATGCACGTGTGGTGTGACAAGAGGAGCCCAAAGGAAAAAAAAAAAACCTTCAAATCCCCCAGAGATCTGACTTCCATAGATTTTCAGACAAGTAGCAGCAAGTTCCACACCACAGGACTTAGTTTGGCCAGTCTGTTGCTAAGGGGGATGGAGCCGGCACTAGCTAGGGCGGTGGACTTACTCTGCAGCTCGGTTGGGAAGGCCTGCAAGGCTCCCACAGCTGCTGTCATAGAGCTGCAGCAGAGTGTGGCCTGATTACTGGGTTAGTGAAAAGCAGCTAGAGGATTTGTGATCTAACAGTGACAGGGTCACAGCTGTCTGGGTTGGAAGCCCATTTCCTCCCTGAGCTCTTTAGACCTCACCATGATGAAGGACAACTCCCTTAGAGCCCACAGCATTTTCCTTTGTTCTAAATTACAACTTCTTATCCCCACCAGGAGCAAATTGGACTGTAATGCAAAGCAGTGGAGGTGAGAAGGGGCGGGGGAGAGGATGGGGGAATCTGCCATTCTTATAAAAGTCTCTTGTTTATAACCCCTGGCCTCTGGTCCCTTCCCTAGGCTCTTTGCTGATGTCCTCAACGATATAGCCATGTTCTTGGAGATTATGGCTCCCATGTACCCCATCTTTTTCACCATGACTGTCAGTATCAGCAACCTAGCCAAGGTACCCACCCCTGGGGCACTTGTGTAACTGAAGTATGTCCTTAATGGTGCTGTGTGTGGCTCACCTGGACCCTGTGCTGAAGGCACTTCTGAAAGGGGAACAAAGTTCATGTGTTTCTACTCAGACACAGACGAGTTTTCTGACCCTCCTTTGACAGGACAGCCCTTGTACCTCAGCCAGCCTGTGCAAGGCCATGTTGGGAAACCATCCTGGTGAGGGAGTCCTGAGCTGCGAGCTGGAGGGCAGTCTGACACCAGTGTCTGGAGCTAGCTCCTGGCTGTTTTTCATTCTTCAGTAAAACATCTTTTTCATGCCTACTACATGAGTGACACAGACCACAGACTCTCCCATCTTTAAAGGAAATGATGCATAATTACACAAATATTTATAGAATTGCAGTTCTGGGCATACCAGATGGGAAATGGTCTGGGGCTGTAGGAAGGCCCTGCCTCAAGCTGAGTCCTGAAGAGGGGGGGGGGGTATGGTGAAGGGAGGGTGTTCTAGGGCCAAGAAATCACACACACACAGCAACCACAAATCACAACAGATTCAAATGGAGAGGCTGAAGGGCCACTGAAGTAAACATAAGCTTCCCCTCTGTGATAGGGTTCATTTGCCCCCACAGTTCCTTCTGGTGAGGAAACAGGCCTAGCAAGGTCAGGAGAGAAGCCCACTGTGGTCAGTAAAGTCACAGTAAAGCTCTGTGACTCAGTGCTGGTCCCCATCTCAAGGGCCTGTCTGTTCAGCACCACACCCAAGCAAGCACTTTTGGCATTTGGTGTTAAGCAGTCTTTTTGCTTAAGGGCAAGCAGTAAATGCTGTGCACACCATATCCTTCACCCCTGCTTTTGTTACTAGTATAGGAAACACTACTGTAGCTGTGGACCAAGGGTTGTGACTTTCAAATCCTGCATTAAACTGCTTTTGAGGCCTGTGTGACTATCAAATACTGTACCAGAACAAGGCATTGTCTTTCCCCTTAAGATCACTCCATGACCAGCCCTTCATCCACAGCCACAGCAGCCTGAAAGTGGCTGTCATCCATACTTCCTCCCAACTGTCACTTTCCACTCTGTTCTTGGGAGTTTTCCTCCTCCTTCCATTCATCCCCCTGTCTCCCTCTGCTGAAGAAGCCGTTCTTTCCTAGGTAGTATAATCCCTCTTAAGTCCTCAACAAAGTCCAATACTCTTTTGAAAGTGGAAGTCATTGGGCCAGCAAGATGGCGGTACCAAGCCTGCCAACCCGAGTTCAATCCCTGGGACCAACATGATGGAAGGAGAGTCAGGGCTCCTACAAATTCTCCTCTGACTTCCGTGCATGCATCATCACACACATGCCCAATATACAATAAATAAATATTTTTAATTAAAAAATAATAAATGCCAAAATCAAATTAAGTTACTTATCTGACCCATTGCTCTTTGGGAACCTTAAAGGCTTCCAAGGCTCTACTTGGACCAGTCTGTGGCCTGCCAGTCAACAATATACAATAAATAAATATTTTTAATTAAAAAATAATAAAGGCCAAAATCAAATTAAGTTACTTATCTGACCCATTGCTCTTAAAGGCTTCCAAGGCTCTACTTGGACCAGTCTGTGGCCTGCCAGTCACCCCAGCCGCATTTTATACCACTTTTCTCTTGCTTGTGAGCAAATTAGTTCCTCTACTTTCATAGGTATACACAAGTTTCATCAAGAAGCTGTGTCTGATTTTTAGCACAGTCTATCATTTTGTCTGTCATCCACAAGAGGTTTGATGAGCAGAGTCATCAAACTAGTGACTCTAGTTAATGGATTTTGCTACTAGAGATCTCAGAAGGAGAGGTGTAAGTACCTTACTCCAGGGCCCCTGGAATAAGCTTGGACTGGCCTGAAAGGCTAAATGGGGGCTAAACTGGGGCAGGGAGAAGAAAGGACTTATACTTAGGTAGAATGGAGACCAGACAGGGCCTCATGGTTCAGTCAGAGAATGGTTGCAGCCAAACTGAGAAAAGGGGATGGGAGATATGGCTTAAAAAGATGTCTGCGGAGGCACACACCTGTGTCTTTAGCATGTTGGCGTCTGGTGCAAGACTATTGCAAGTTCTAGGGCAGCCTACTAAGACCCTGACTCAAAGGGCAAAAAAAGATCTTTGGGCAGGAAAGGAAGTTGGAATTCCCTACAGTCAGGGTCACAGGGTGATAGTGGCAGGCAAGGCTTTCGTTCTTATGGAACAAGATAGGGAGCATGCCCCTAAAGACACAAGTTAGAGGTAAAAGGGCTTTGGTTTTTGCTGGAGAGGAGTGGTCACCAGAGACCAGCCATTCTCTGGATGGTTTGAGTTATTTATGTGCTCATCCACAGAAGGGTCAGTGTTTCTACAGCACATAGCTGCTCTGACCTTCACTCCTCTTTTTCCCTCCCAGTGCATTGTGGGTGTGGCTGGTGGGGCCACTCGAGCGGCACTGACCATGCACCAGGCCCGAAGAAACAACATGGCTGATGTATCAGCCAAGGACAGCAGCCAGGTGAGCACCAAGCACTGGGGGAACGGTGTGAGGTAGGGAAGGGGCCAGGACAGGCCGCAGTTGAGAAGTAGGAAAGAGGCCGGTGAGTACCCCTGGGAAGGAGGTAGAGTAGGGACCGCAAGTGCCCCTGCTGTGACTCAGGGTGTGGGGCAGATCTGACAAGACAAGTTCAGACTCCTTTCAGCCCCTGCTCACTGCCTATTGGCCAACAGTGAACCTTTGCCCTCTGTAGGCTGAATCCCCACCCTGGGAGCTAGGTGTACTGATCACAGTTGGCAAGTTGCGGTGTACTTAGCATGTGAGGTTGTTAGGGTCACCATCCAAAGGCCTCCACTTAGTAGTTTGGAAGGTCCTTCAGGCCAGCATCTTCCCCCTAACTGGGAGCCTGGAGCACAGTGGGGCTGGGAGGGACGGCCCTAAGACTGATAGGTGTTAGGTTTTGCCCCAAACCTCTGTGCTAAGTGCTCTCTGGGTTTTCTCATTTAAATCATACCTCCCCTGTAAAATCAACACTATTAGGATCCTGGATCACAGTTGAGGAATGCAAGGCTCAGGCAGGTCCCCAAAATGTGAAGGGGTGATGTTGTTGTTACTTCTTTATTCCTATAGTTGTTGAATCAGTTTAGAAACCTATTCTATCCAGTCCTAGTTCTCACCTTATCTTACATTGTTTTGCTCAGTAATCCTTAATTAATATTTGTAAAGCATTAATCACATGTCAAGTGTATCCTCTCCATGAACTCAGTCCAGTCTTTAACATGTTATTTGTACCTATTGTGACCATTTCACAAATAAGGAGCTAAAGCACAGAAAGTCCCAAGTCCATCTAAGTCCCTCCTCTCAGGCAATGGTTAGACTAAATCAAGTAAAATCCAGATCCTTCTGCCCAGCATCTCTCATGTTAGTTCTCCCTGGCTCCCAGTCCTGCCTCAGTCCCCAAGCCACCATGTTAGTTCTCCCCTGGGAAGGAGGTAGAGTAGGGACCGCAAGTGCCCCTAGTCCTGCCTCAGTCCCCAAGCCATGTTTCTGTAGAGTTCTGTCCCTAAGGCAGAAGTACGTCACCAGGGCACTGTAAACCATGTGCTCAGTCCCTGGCCCCTGCTTTCTGCAGGAAAGTGAAGTTCCCTTTGTGGACTCTTAGTCTCATTAATAAAATAATTTAGAAACAGATTCACTGTATGTGAGGGGGTACAGTGAGGAAACTACTAAAATGGTCACTTTATTATTAAGATTTTTACTGTTATTATTTTCTATTATTAGATTTTTATTGTAGATAAGAGAGAAAGAATATCTAGAGACATCTGGAAGAGTCCATAACAGAGAGATAAGAAGTAGACATAGACTCTTGCCTCTCTTGCAGGGCTATCTGCAAGAGAGGCAAGAGATCGGGAAAGGATATTGGAGATAGCAAGAGACAGAGAATGGTAAGATACAATAGCAAGAGTGGGGAAGACAGGGTATAAAGAAAGGGGTCCATTGTCTTAGTCACTAGGAGGTTAGATGCCTGCCTCGTGGCAAGGAACCAATCAGAAGTTAGCTGGTGGTGCTATGCTTTACGGCTCTGGGTGTGCTTTAC